CGTTAGTCCTTTGAACGTCGTTGAGCAGCGTAACAAATGTCGCCTCATTCTCGACCTTCGCAAAGTCAACGCCCACCTCGAAATTCCAAAGTTCAAGTATGAAGGCTTGAACCGGGTAGCCGAACTCATCCATCCCGGCGACTGGATGTTCTCCATCGACCTGAAGTCCGGCTATCACCACGTCGAGATGCACCCCTCCTCCTGGAAGTACTTGGGCTTCCAATTTGAGGGCGCGTACTACTCCTTCCGCTCGCTGCCGTTTGGTCTCGCCACCGCCCCGTTCGTTTTCACCCAGCTAATCAAACAGTTGGCAAAGCGGTGGAGGGCCAGCGGCCTACGCGTCGTCCCGTACGTCGACGACCTCCTATTCCTTTGCAACTCTCATACACACGCGCGCTCAGCATGCGCCGCAGTTACCCAAGACCTAAAGGCGGCTGGTTTTGTTATCCACTTCCTCGGCCTGGAGGTCGACGCAGTTCGCGGCAAATTCTCTATCAGTCACGAACGACGAGCTCAGCTCCTAGCCACACTCACCGACATCAACGCCCAGGGCCAAGCAGGACGACGAGTCCCCATCCGCTCCCTTGCGCGAGTCACTGGCATGCTGGCCTCCATTACCTTAGCATTGGGCGCCACAGCATGAGCCTTCTGTCATGAGCTCCTGCAACTCATCGCCGACGCCACGTCTTGGCATGACAAAGTCAAACTACCTCCGCCCGCACTAACAGAGCTACGCTTCTGATTCCGCACTTCGACCAATTCAACGGCGCCCCATACCATCTCAGTCACCAATACGACGCTGTCATCCACGTTGATGCAAGTGCCCACAGCTGGGGTGCCACCCTCACTCAACTGCCTGGCACGCACATCGAGGCCAGCGATCGCATGCCAAAAGAGCTCATGCCCACCTCCAGCACTTGAAGGGAACTCGAAGGCGTCCTTTGGGCACTCCGGACATTCACCACCCACCTCGTCAAGCGTCACGTGCTCGTTCGATTCGACAACCAAGGGGTGGTGTTCATCCTTCATAAGGGCAGCTCACGCCACCCCTCACTCACACTGCTATGTCAAGCGATCATCAGAATGTGCTTGGAAAACCGGACACGACTCGCTGTCGAATGGATTCCGAGAGAATTGAATGCCCACACGGATGAGCTCTCGAAAGTCCAAGACTACGAAGACTACTCTCTTCAAACCCCTTGGTTCCGGCTCTTGGATCGTCGACTTGGACCTCACTCCATCGATCTTTTTGCCAACGTACACAACGCCTAGCTGCAACATTTCTGTTCCAAGATCCCCCATCCTGAGGCAACAGCGATTGACGCTTTCTCACTCAATTGGCAGCACGAGTACGGCTTCGCATTTCCCCCACCCCACCTCATTCCAGCCACCCTGCCCAACACACACGCGCTGAGCTAACATTGGTCATCCTCGAATGGCCCGGCACATCATGGTGGCCACTCCTCCAGCTAGCACCCCGTGTTTGGGCGCCGGAGATAGTAGCCCATATCCCACTCACCCATGGCACCCAATGTCTCTGCCCTGGCACACACTCGCTCGCTTTCGCCGGCCAAGGCCTGCCTCATAGCCAGATGATTGCATTGCATGTAACCTACAAGATATAACTCCTCCATGTATGGTCTATATTTTTAGGCATGCTGTCGAAGTTAAAGACACAATTACTGCGCATAACCACCCGCGTCCGGGCGCCCTCCACTTTCAAGACCTATGACCCGTACTGGCAGAAATTTCGCTCATTCTACGCGAAATTCAACCTCGGCTATCTGCCAGCCACGGACACGACCCTGGCTCTCTATCTTGTTCACGCGCTCAATCACCAAGCAACCGCCTCTGCCATATCCCTCACATGCTCTGCCATCTCTTTCGCACACCGGGATGACTGGCGAACCCTCCCCCACGAACGGCCCTTTCATGGTACAAGTATGCAAATTTGCCAAGCGCCATGGGGCACGCCCCACAAGGAATAAGGAACGCTCCACCAAGTCCATACTATGGCCCATCCCTTCCTCGAATCAACTAACCCAGCCACATACCAGAAGGGTCTCATCCTGCTGCTCATGTTCGCAGCATTCCTACGCTACTCGGACCTCGTCAGCATCCAGTGGAATGACATACAGTTTGAGGACAAGGCAATGTGGGTCCTGATCCCACACTCCAAGACGGATCAGGAAGGCAAAGGCACCTGGGTCCCCATTGCCGCCACAACCACACCCTATTGCCCCGTCACCTGCACGCGGCGCTTCATTCACCTTGCAGGCCACACTGCCACCCCACACGGGCCTCTGATTTGTGCCTTCGCGACCAGAGGCAAGGCCACCCCACGGGACGCCGCACCTTCATACACAACCATTCGGAATTGGTGTCTAGAAGCCTTTGCCGCAGCAAGCCTCGACCCCACCAATCTCGGCACCCACTCTTTCCGCAAGGGCGCCGCGACCGCAGCGGCTAGCCTGGGGATACCTGACAGGCTTTTCAAGCGTCTAGGCCGATGGCGCAGCGACAGTGCGAATGAGCTATATGTCACTATCGCGCAAGACCACCTTCTTGCAGCCTCCACGCAGCTTCAAGATCCATCCGCAGCCCCATCGCCCAACAACCACCAGCTGTCCATCGAGCGGCAACGCCGACCCGTCCTCCACATGCCTCAGAAGACCCATATGAAATGAAGCACGCTGCCTCTCAAGAGGACCTAAGCAAGCTTTCACAATATGTAATTTTTTGAAAGCGTGTAGCGCTTTCTAAAAATGTGATTGTGATAGTGTAGCAAGGGCCAATGCAGCAAAGGCATCGGCGAAGCGCACCTAACCCTCTTTTGCATTCAAAAGAGGAACGTGAGGCCTCTCGGCCTCACCCACGTTCTTCATTTCTAGTTCAACTCATTTGAGTTTCCCCACCACCCACCCTAGCTATGTGTTGAGTAGTTTATTGGACGAGAACCAATGTATGTCCCCCATATGAAATGAAGCACGCTGCCTTTCAAGAGGACCTAAGCAAGCTTTCACAATTCTAGCCTGTAAGACATATATAAAATATGTTTGACAAACCCCCTAGGCTAGATGAGGGGCAATGCCAGGAAAGAGACACACAGCTCAGGGTGGCACTAGTCCAACCTCTGAGGCAGAGGTTCGAAGACCAATCAGCAAGAGCAATCCAGGATGGTACTGTTCAAATTATATTTTATATAATTATAGGCTTGGTAGTTGTGCTACTGCATCCTACTGTAGAGGGGATAACTCCCTTTCTTGTACCTGTTTCTCTTCTAGTTGATCCGCATTTTCTCTCGACATTCTCCTCGCCTTCCTCCTAGCTAAACTCCGCCGCCATAGTCATGGCGTCCTAGCTATCCTACCTTCACGACAGGTACTACTAGTCCAGCCACTGGGACAAGGGCCACAAGGCCAGTCAAGATCATATAAAATTAGTACACAATCAAGGTCCTAGCAAGTGAGAAGCTACAAAAACTAGACCAAGCTGTACACAGTGCCGCTGATGATTTTTAGGCGCAAGCGCCTTCGTAAAGATATCAGCTGTGCTGGCACCTGATGCCAATTGTGCTACGCGGGCATGGCGGCGCTACTACAACTCGAGCAGAGGAAGTACCGCATCTGGATGTGGTTTGCTCTGCCCACCAGTCGAGGCTCCTGACATAGGAGGATCATGGCCATGTTGTCAGCGTACAGGACCGGGGCAGAGCTAGGCCGCTCACCTAAGTCTGTGAGCAAGAAAGTCAGCCAGCGGAGCTCCTGTGCCGCCATGGCATCGGCGTAAATCTCAGCCTCACACCTAGACTGGGCAACAGACGATGAGCGGGTGGACCTCCACGAGATGGTGCCTGCACCAAGGCTAAAGCAGTAGCCCTGGGAGGACCTGAGCGTCTCAGCATCATGTGCCCACGAAGCATCTATGTGCCCTGTAAGGACCACTAGCATGTGTCCTCCTAGCACTAGCCCCATGCCCGATGTACTTGCTAGATAACGCAAAACCCTTTTAGCGGCCGACCAGTGCTGTGGTCAGTGTCTGCTCGTGGCCACAAAGCGAGCCAGGATGCTGGGAGGGTATGCAAGATCTGGGCGAGTGCAAGTCATGAGGTACATGAGGCAACCCACTAGCTCTGCGTAAGGATCATTAGGCTCTCCAGACTCCTCAGGGACTGGAGTCGAGAGCCTGTGATCTACTGGTAGATGTGTGGGCTGTGCGGAGGAGAACTGAAGACCGAACCTCTGAAGGACCTGGCGCACCAAGTGTGACTGTGTTAGAGTGATGTTGCGCGCTGCTCTGTCCCGGGAGATTTGCAGGCCAACGTAACGGCGCAGCTCTCCTAGGTCAATGCAGGTGTTTCTCCTCAGCAGCTCAGCCTTCACGGAGGCCAGTGCGTCTCTGTCTGCAGTAGCAAATACCAGGTTGTCTACGTAGACAATGATGTAGGACGGGGTCTGGCCAGCACGAACGAAGAGCGAGGGGTCTGCAGACAACGGGAAGAACTGCAGGTCAGCTAACGTAGTACGAAGCGTGTCGTGCCACTCGCGAGGTGCCTGCCACAGACCGTAAACCGGGCGCCGGAGGAGCCACTTGATCCCCGGGGCGAAGGTGTCGGTGAAGCGTGGCGGGTGACGCAGGTATACCTGCTCGTTCGAACTGCCCTAAAAAAACGCTGTGGAGAAGTCGAGAGAGTGCAACTCGTATTCACGCAGTATTGCTACGTGTAAGAGCGCCCGAAGAGTAGTCATATTCAGGGTCAGGGCGAAGGTTTGAAAGAAGTCAACACCCTCCCGCTGACTGAAGCCTCTAGGAACGTAGCGCGCCTTGAACAACGGCGGCTCACCACGAGGGCGCTTCACCTTGAAGAGCCACCGGCCATCGACTACGTTCACCCCAGATGGGGGAACTACGTCGACGTAGGTGCCGGTGGATCTCCAAGATGCCATCTCCTGCTCCATGACAGCTATCCAAAGAGAGGCTCAGAGTCCCAAGGTCGCCTTCGCGTAAGTGCGATGGGTCGGGATGTCAAAGGCGTCTGGGTCACCCTCAGGGACTAGCAGCATGAAGCAGAGATGAGGCACAGCTCGTACAGCCAGTCTTCAAGGATGTCACTGCCAAGGGTAGAAGCACCCCCGACGGACGGAGGATGGGCAGGGTCAGAGACCAGAGCGGTGGCGTAGTCAAGGCAGCTAGTAGAGGAAAAGTCAGCGACGGCAGCGACAAGGGCATCAAGTCTTAAGACAGGAACAGACGGGTCGGTAATAAAGGAGGCAAGGACCCGAGGGACAAGAGGACTAGCGGCACGAAGGAAGTAAGATAGAGGAGGCGGAATGACAACAAGCAACGACGGAAGAGGCGACGGGAGGAGGGGAGGGCGAGACGCGTGGGAACGGAGCAACATAGGGTGAGAGCACTGAACTGGAGACACAGGACGAGCACGGGAGGGACGGCGAGACCCGACGTGAGACGAAGGCGTCAGGTCAGGAGACAAAGGAGGAGACACAGGAGGGGAACGAGGGGGAAGACGAGCCAGAGACGAGTCCGGCGGAGGAACACAGGGCCGTAGATAGGCACGGGAGGTGGCGGCGGGGGAGGCGCAGACGGGTGGTCGGAGGAGGGAAGACCGAGAAGGCGAAGGACGGATATCGGCAGCGACTGCTGCTGCTGCTGCTGCTGCTCCACGCTGACACCAGAACCTCTAGCTGCTCTACGGCTACCTCCAGAACGCTCCACTCAAGCACCCCCAAAACAAGAAACCTCTCCAGCACTAGTGCCACCCCCAGGGCCGCCCGGACGAGTCACGACAAGAACCCGAGGACTACAGAAACAGCACCCCCAGAACGAAAACCCTCTCCAGCACCGATGCCACCCCCGAGACTGCCAGGACAAGCCACGATAGTAACCCCAGGACTAGCACCCTCCTTAATGCCAACACCCCCAGAACGCGCGGACCCCTTCAGTGGCTGTGGCTGCGGCGGCAGCTGCTGCTAATGCTGCTGCGAGGTCGACGGCGGCTGCTGTTGCGGCTGCGGCAGCAGAGGAGGAGACACCGGGGCGGAGACAGCCGGCGAAATCGAAGGGCCCCCGGAATCAACCGAATCCTCCATCGGGACCACCGACGGGAGGGGAGTGACTAGAGACACACCAGATGGGCAGGACGGGGAGGGAGAGGAGCAGGGGCTACCGGGGGAGTGGGAACCAGAAATAGGGGTGGGGAAACCGGGAGACCTCAGTGAGGAAAGAGGTCGTAGAAGGAGACAGACTCGTCAAAAGAGACGTCACGCGAGTGAAACAAGCGATGAGAAGGCAGGTGGCAAAAGTGCCAGTCACACGCGTCAAGTGGGAAACCAAGGAAGACACAAAGGACAATGTGGGCAGAGAGCTTGTCCGTGCCAGAGGTTCGAACATGAGCGAGGTAGCCCCAGACATGGAACAGAGACGCGTCACCAAGGAACCCGTTCCAAAGAAGGTTTGGCGAAACCTGCAGCCACCGGATAAGCTGGTGAGAGGCGTAGCGAACAGCGAACAACCACAGAAAATGGGGTGCACCGGCATGGATCATGGAGGTACGAGCCACCTCCATGACCAAACCGATGCATCGCTCAGCGACCCCATTCTGCTGTGGGGAGTCCGGCAGGGTGTACGACTGGGTGATGCCCTCTATACGACAGAACTGGCCAAGTCGACCGGAGTCAAACTCGCCGCCACGGTCGGAGTGGAGACGAAGCACGGGGAGGCCGCGGTGCACTCGCGCAGCTACGACCCACGAGATACAGTAAGCACGTCAGGCACGTCGGCCTTCCGCTCCATGGGAAACACTGTGGTGTAGCATGTGTAGTCATCGACAGGCACTAGAAATTAGCGCTCTCGACGCGGCCCAGGGACGGGGGCTTGGCCCCAAACGTCCAAGTGTAGGGTCTGGAGTGGCGCAGTAGTAAAGGGAAACGAGGAGGAGTGAGGAGTACGGCGCGGCCGGCCCTCGACGCAAGGCGTACACAAGGGCAGGGAGCGACGCAGGGAAACCGAAGACAGGACCGTGATGAGACATGTGACGTAGACGCGAGAGTGCGGGGTGACCTAGGCGGTGGTGCCACAGCAGCGACGGGTGAGTGAGCGACCGACGCGAGGAAGCTGCAACAACCTCGATCGTCGCAAGCACCTGGGGGGACGCCCTCCCCGGGGGGACGCAGTGTCAAGCGTAAACAGGCCAGACACAGGGTCCCGGTGGAACGTGGTTAGAGGGGCACCAGTGGCGGCCTCGGTACAAACTGCGTACCGCTCGTGTCCGGGGAACGTAGTGGTGACGCATAGGTCTTGAAGACAGCCGACACCAACTAGGTTCCTAGAGAACAAGGAGATGTGCTCGCATGTAAGAGAGCCCGAGGGGACCGCCGGACGGGTGTGGGTAGTGGAGCTACGGGTTACTATCGGACCTGAGGAGGGGTCAGCAAGCGCTACAGTGGGGGGGGGGGCAACAAGTGGCGTGAGCACAGTGGGTCGTGAAAAAAACAGGCGGAGGCTCCTGAGTCAAGCGTGGAGGAGAGCGACGCAGTAGCGTCAGCTGGACAGGGGCGAGCGTAGAGCCTAAGCTAAACAAGGCAGAAGGTCCTACACCAAACGCAGTAGGGGAGCCTAGACTACATACAGAGGACACACCTACGCTAGGCAACACCGGGTAATAAGGTCCAATCACACTAGAGTC